CAAAAAAAAATCATGTGGGGGAGGAATGTATCCTCAAGCTGCTAAATCTGCCTTTCTTTGACCATTAAATCTGAGCAGAATTAACATGTGACACTTTAAGGCAGAAAATTTAAGAGCCCAGGCGTGGCTGGCTGTGTTCTCTCCTCCTGCTTCTGCAACACGGGAGCAGGTGCAGGGGTGGCTTGAGGCCACCTGGGTCTGTGCACACAGCTCCCTTGCTGACACACAACAAGCATGTTGTTCTAGCAGGATGGACACATTGCTGTTTTAAGTTATTTCACATTTTCTGTAAAATGCCAGAATGTAAACATGTTGGGCCTTTTGGGTCACATATGGTTTTTGTCTTCTTCCTTTTTTTAAACAATCCTTTAAAAATATAAAAACCATTCTTAGCTCACAAGACACACAAGAACAAGCTCAATTTCCTGGATTTGTACCTAAGGCTTCTGAGACCTTCAGGCCACTCATTAGCAGAATGTAACAGGGCCTATTCTGACCGATGCAATGGCATTTTCTGTGCTCACTCAGCCCTTATTATCCTGTAATGTAGCCACAATCTTTAGGTAGGTGGAGGCCATGTCTAGCAAGCTCACTGCAAGATGTGGCAGCTCACGAAGGAATTGCTGAGCAAACTGAAAGTCTTCTCCATAAGCCTATCCTCAAGGGTCAGAGACCTTAGCCTTTTGCTTTAAATCCACTCCTGCACTCCCTGGCATATCATGACAGGAAAGCGTTCCAGCTTTTCATACCTGTTACCAAGAATCAAGTGTGTCCTTGCCTGTGACCCACTGGAAGCAGCGAGCTACCATTTGAGACACGAAAGCACACACGGGCTATTTGTTCACAAGATGAATATATGACCTCTTGAGTCATGTACTAAAGCGCATGTCTAAAACTATTATCTATAATAGAATGAATTTGGGGCTTTCTTTTTCTTTCCCTTTTTTTGGAGGGAGCCAAGCAGGTAAGGGGATAGTAGAGAATTACAGTAAAATGTGGGTATTTGGAAAGGCCAAGAAATGTGCAATGGTGAGTGGATAGGAAGTTCATTTACACCCAGGTCCCCCGGAGACGCTCTGTAATGTGAGCGCACTATGTGGATGCCACTTGACCAGCTGACCTTCCCAGGGGGTTCCTGAGCCAGGGTCTGTTCCTTTGTGTGGCCTCAAAAGTTGCAAATAAGTGCAGGAGCAAGACCTGAACGTGTGTCATGGCTCACATTACTAGAAGGTACGGTCTTTCAAGTGGAAATATATCAGACATGAAAAATGGGTCATATTTATAAATCCATGCCCCCTAAATGTTATCACTTTCTATTGGGAGTCTTCATGAAACAAACTCCAGCCAAGAAATTTACTATAAATAATTGCAAGTGAGCTACAATCTTGAAACATTCAATTCACCTACATTGAGAAAAATGAGGAGAAGGTAATTTTAGTTTTCCTAAAGCTTTCATTTCTAATCAGATTTTCAATACACTTTATCCCAGGCATCTCAGACATCATTTGTTGATTCTATGCTTCTTTTCTGGAAGTCAATAAATCTTGTAGCAGAACAGAGAAAAATAAAACATGACAAGGCTGCCCCTTTGTGGTGACATGTGCTCACAGCAGCTGCTGGTTCCACGGGCTCCCTAAGCATAGTTAGACTTCAACCTCCCAGAACGTGGGAATTTTGTACACTGAGGTTCAAATTAATGCTAGAAGATTTCAAGTGAACCATGAACTTTCTTAAAAATAAGAGTCTCATGGCCAGATTTTTATCAATACTAATAGACACTGAAAACTGTTTCAGCACTATTCCATTTAAAGTAGCTTTAAGTAAAGAGAGACATTGTTTCCATGAATTATCTTTTTAATTAAAAAAAAATCACTTTATACTCATTGGAAATAATGGTGGAACTTCAATGCCCAGATGAAGCAATTGCTTTAGTAGAGAAAATCTGGGCTGGGATAAACTCTGCCCTGAGATTTATCTCTGCCCTTGATTCTTTATTTCAAATAGAAAAATATTGCTTTACTTAAAACTAAACTCTGAAAAATTGAAAATAGTGTTTTTTAATTTCATAACTCCTAAATAGAAGCCTGATAACTATTTTCCAAAGAATGAGCAGAATAACAATGAAAGACAAGAAAGAGCAAAAGCAAAATAGAAGTTTTCTTATCTTGTAAAATAAGGTACCTTTTCCTAGGGAGCCCATACATCTCGAATACAAGCACTGGATGGTTAATTAAAAAATGGGATGCTGGGGATGGGGATTTAGCTCAGCGGCAAAGAGCCTGCCTGGCAAGCACAAGGTCGTGAGTTCGGTTCCCGGTACCGGAGAAAAACCAAAAAAAAAAAAAAAAAAAAAAAAAAGGGATGGTTTCTTAAGACTAATACATAGACTTAGTAATGCAGCCAGCCTGCTCACTTGGGGTTAAAGGGTAGGTTACTCATGTGTGTTTATCTTCTTTGATTCTCAAAGCTTGCTACAAGAGACTTTCTCTGACATGCCGCTATCCAGAGGGACAGTGAGGATGGACTTGGTAACAAGAAAGGACACTACAGTCCACGACTCAGATGGAGGGTGTGACAGACTCTGGAGAGTGAAAATCCCTACTCCCGGGGTCTGCCATCTTTACTCCTGCAGAGCCCAGGGTGCTACACAGGGGAAGAAGGAAGCCAAAAAACTCAGAACACAGAATTGAGATGTAGTCCACAGGTCCCTTCACACACCCACACAGCCGGGAAACTGAGTGCCCTCTGCCACCTACAGAAAACATTTATTTTTCAAAGAAATTTACTCAGTAAGATACCAAGCAGCATAAACCTGAATTCATGGGAAGACAATGGAAATCTAAATGGAATGCAGCTCCCTAAGGCTCCTTTGTGGACAATGGTCCCAGAATGACAGCAGAGGAATGCACTCTCCTCTGTATAGGCAAGATACCAGAAGAGTGTTCCTTGGAAGAATGACTAGATTTCAACTTGGGGTCTTCAAAGGAAAAATCTCCCTGTGCTAAAATGAAATCTACCCAATGGCAGCCTTCGCTGGAGTTCACAGGGCTTCCAACATTTATCATTCCTTTCTTACAGTTACTAGATTAGTCCAAGATCACCAGACAGGGAAAGCTTTCAGTAGGAAAAAGATATCAAAGAAAACAGGGGAGGTAAAAAGAGGTGGATCCAGAAAATAAAGAAGCAATTCAGGTTGCTGTAGGAAAAAAAAAGTCTATATTATGCTGAGTCAGAATAAAAGCAGGGTTCCATGGAAATGGAACAGAAAACAAGATGGAATGTTCAGAAAATAAAAAGATGATTTAAAAAATTAAATACTCAATGACTAAAAAATAAAGTTGAAAAAATTTTAGCCAACTGTCCCACAGACCAAGGACTTCTATCTAGAACATATACAGAACTGAAAAAAAACAGGCCCCCAAAATTCAAAGACCTGATCCAAAAATGGGCATCTGAGATGCATACGCACTTCTCAGGTGAAGAAATACAAATGGAAAATAAACATATGCAAAAATGTTCAACATCATTGGTCATTCGAGAAATGCAAATTAAAACAACCCTGAGATTCCATCTCACCCTGGAAAGAATGGCTATCATCAAGAAATCAGCCAATAACAAACGCTGGAAGGGTCGTGGGGAAAAAGAGTCCAATCAGAAAAGGGGTACATGAGAACTCCAGAACAAGGTCTGTGCATTGTGTTGCCAGGATAGTAGACAGGAAACAACAGGAAGTAAGGAAAATGTCACAATGGGAAATAAAGTACATGAAAAACTAAAAAGAATTCAAACTTTTGTTGTTCATGAAGACATATGATCCTAGGAAATATACACATCTGAAATTACCTTCACAAAACCAGATTCTTCTAAAAGTATAGGAAGCAGTTTTAGATGTTGTCGTATATCTCTCACATCGATAAAGACTGAAAGCAGTGTTTTCCAAACCGGTGACTAAGGTAATCCACTGCAAGGGGTGGAGATTAAAACCTTTGTTTTTATTTTTAAATTCATCCTTTTACATTTTATTTCTGTAGACTCTGTTATACCCTGTAGAATTTTTGGACAATAATATATGTATAGAATTTATAAGTGAGCCAACATATAGTGGCAGTATATTCTCAAAAAAAAATCTTTACTGAGCAGATGTCACCATCAAAACTATTTGGAGACCACAGATTTAGGATATGTCTCGCTGCCTCTACTTCATGAGCCATTAATGCTCCATGAGAGAACACACATGTTCACAAGGGAGAAAATCAGGAGGAAGCTAATCTATCATTCTAAGCTTAAAATTTAAGTTGTGATTGACTATTAGAGTAATATGAAGGTAAAAAAAACACCTATTAATCTATAAAATTGTATTCAAAATTAGACCTTTTTGTTACAAGTGAAAATATTAAGGTAAAAATATATGTTGAAATATACAGATAGCAGAATATTTGACAGCTCTCAATATGTTTATAAGACAATGACTGTTAATAAGGCTTAAACCCGTGTGTTCACATGGCATTCATAAAAGCTTTCTTTGAAGAAGTACTGCTCTAAAGAAAGAAAAAGAACTAGAAACCATTGATCTTTTCCCTAGGAGTACTTTATTCCCTCCTAAGAAAAAAATACAACTCAATCATTTAGAACTGTCATAGTCACTAACCAAAATGGCAGCCACAACTCACACATGGATAAGTAACTAAAATGTAATAAAATGTAAAATGTGTTTCTCCCATCACAATAGCCACCTCCTTCTAAATGCCCAACAGTAACACATGACTAGTGGCTCTACAGTGGACAGCAGAATAAAAAAGTTCCGCCCATGCCCAGAACTCTGCTGGATACTACTACTCTAGAACAATAATCTACTCTAGAATTATACTCAGAAATTCCTTAAAGGTTATTATACTTGCTTCATAACTGTTACTTTGTCCTTTTTCCCCAGCAGAGTATTCATATACTCTAGAAAAATATTCAGGAATTCTTTAGTTAAAACTCAGGATTTTTATACTTACTAATAGTCACTTTGTCCTTGTCCCCCAACATAATGTTGTTTGGTGTCAGGTCTCTATGGACAATCCTCTTCTCCTTGTGCAAGTACCGAAGAGCTAAGCACAACTTGAAATAGGAATAAGAAACAAATTTTACTTCCCCCAATATGCATATAACCAATGATGACCACTATGTACTTCTAAGAAATCAGGTCACAACTTCACCGTATTATGAAAGGTTTTAAAGAGAAGATATACCTGTATAAATATTTTCCACAGTCTTTCTTCGGTGAAATGGTGCTGTTTCTCCTTCAGAGAATTGAAATGCTCTCCAAGTGGCGCACCTTCTATAAGTTCCATAACTATATACAACCTATCATCTACAGAAAAAATGTAAAGTGGGTCATAGAAATTTAAATTAAACATAGAATATTGAAAAACAAACTTATGCATTAGAATCTGAGCTTGTGAATGGGTGTACAGAGTGCAACACTAAAGAAAGTATATCGCAAATGACCAGGATACCACGTGTATACATGCCAATTTCCTAAGATGAATGCAATTATTATGTATTCCAAAGGCATATCAATGAAAAAGAATTTGAGATCAACAAAGACAGGGGACCCTGTGGCACTGGATGGGGTGGGGTTGCAGGGGTTTCAGGGCAGCTGAAGCCCAGCAACAATCTCTCCATGCTACAGGCAATGTGCAAGTATATGTTTACACTGGAAATATTTTCATTTTCTATGTACATCAGGATATGGGATAGTTGGAAAGTGCCAAAGAGAATAAGCAAACAGTTCCAAGACAAGGGGGAAAAATGAATATATAAACACACCTTTCCTATTTGTAGTCTAAAATTTACCCTTAGACCAAATCAGACATTCAAAAACAATGCATTTTAATTGACACTTTTTGGAGTCTCATAGACTTACTTCACAGAAACTTATACAAAATCATGCCATGGTCTTGCTATGATACAGCTGAAAATATCACCCATAATTTTTGTTGTTCCTTCAAGAGCAAAGACAGCTGGTCTTCTCCTGGTTTTATCTTAGACACTGAGAATCTCATAAAAACTGTGCTTGTGTCTTTACTTTGGATGCCAACAAAAAGTGAATACCATTTCCTCCACCAGAACCAATATGAAACCATTAACAATTCTATGTATTAAGTGCCTTTTATGTTTTGGATGTATATAACATATCTGTATATATGTACACAATATTAACAAAAATGGGAAAAAAAAATGGAACTCTGTGTTCTGCAACATGTGCTTGTTTCCATGACACAGTCCCAGTTCAGTCTACACAGAGGCTGTGTGTATCATTCTTAGTATTGGTTGCCATATCATTGTACAGCAAGGATAAACCCTAATTTATTTAATCCTTCTGTATGGAGATATTATATTGTTTCAAATTTTTCATTACTCTAAGAAATATTTATCGTATTTCTAACCTTATCTCTAGCACTACTTTTAAATTTTCTGACCTTATATTCCCCTTCATTGCAGTTTTCTAATCTAAGGTGGCAGGGTTTACTGCAGGGATTTCAGCACTGAGTTTTTCTGAGTCACATAGGCAAAGGAAGATGGGTAAGATGGTAGCACAGGCCAGCGCACACAAAAGGTTATTTTAAATAACAGCAGCACTGATAAAGAGGCAATTAGCAAGTATTATTATTCAAATCTTCTTTCAAATGGAGATTTATTTGGAAATTTCATATGTGTTTGATCATCAAGTTTCATTAATACATTATTTCCATCAACAGTCCTGGCTGTTTTTTCTTTTTTATTTCTCTTTTTTTCTTTCAAAGAAAATAGTACCAAAAAAAAAAAAAAAGAACAATAGCAAAATACAAACAAAACAAAGCAAGGACATTAAAAATGATTAGGGTTTCAAACCAAAAGATAGGGATTAACAGTGGTTGTTATTTCACCTACTGTTATCTTCAACAAAGTTGCTCAGATTACCAGATGTAAGAATAGAAGACTGATCAAATCATTAAAGGGAATAAGAAAATAATAATTTAAAAGAACATTAGAGATAATGTCTGATGGTTTACTGAGGGGAACAGTTAATGATTAAAAGTTTTTTTATATTTTTATATTTTGACCAATTCTGCGTGCTTATATCTGATAATCTGAGCAATTTATGTGAAGATGACAATTTGCAGTATAACAACCATTAGTGAATTCCTACAATCCTGCCTGGTGAAGTTATATACAGTTCTGGATTTTTTTTTTTTTTGCGGAGGGGTGCTGCTTTGCTTTGGTTTTGTTGAGTGGTGTGGGTTTGTCTTAATGTTTTCGCTGGGTACTCAATCTCACTTGACAGCCTGCCTGCTGACAGAATAAACCAAAGTTCTATCACCACCTGCTGGCATTAATATGAACTTCATGAAAAAGAAATCTCAAACCAATTTATTTCGGAGGTGGGAAAATGTCTGATTCAACACACAAACTGCTATTAATTTTCATAAAGACACCAGCACATTTTATCTCCTGAACTTATGAAGTGCTTTTTGGCATACTGAAAATAGCAAGAATAATTATTTTGGTGTGTTGATGAAGTGCCTTCTCTACAGGCATCTAAGTTATTTATAGCTACCTTCAGGTAATTGTATCGTGGTTTGATTGTTCAAGAAATAGGTGCTTGAGATCACTCACTGACAGGTTAGTAACAAAAATTAAAGAAAATAGCTGAGTTTGGTTTGCAACATTCCAATATGAAAATATGTAAGTTACAAAGATACTTTCCCTTAATTAGAAATCCCACCACAAAAAGTCATACTTACTTTCCAGAAATGTTTTGTAATAACGTACAATGTTAGGATGATAAAGCTGCAAGAAAATAAATCACAAACATGTATTATCTACTTCAAAACACAAAGTTATTTCACAGACTTTTATTTCATAAATTATTATGTCAAAAAAGCTGAGCATTTCAAGACATCATCTGAGATTTTTATGAGTTTTTTAAAAATCTGTTACTTACAAAATTAAACCAAAAGCACCAATCACCTATACAGCTTTATAAAACAACATTAAAAACCAAGCTTTATTACATAAGTAAAACAGAATTGTAGAACTAAATAGAACATTAAAAATGTACATACTATCTTCTATTACCACAAAGACTGCATAAAGGGGAAAAAAAAACAAAATGAAGCAATTTGTGTCACTGTACACTTATACAGATATCCATTGCTTTTTTACCTCTTTTCCCATATATAGATATATATATGTGTGTAGTTTGTGTCTACACTGTTTCTATGTTCTACACAATGATTAATATGAAACAAATAATCTCAGAGCTGAGATTAATCATAGTACTAGTTGACAAGTCTCCCCCTTTCCATACTTAACTGGAGTCCTGTGACAACTCTTCCTGACTAGCCATCCTGCTTGGCTGCACAACTTCAGCAAGGGCCCTGTGAGGCCAGTTTGTCAAGAATCTCCCACACTTGATATCCAATCAAGTATCTAATTCCTGATATCTAAATCCCTTTAAGTAATCTGCCATCCACTGGCCCCCTCCCCCTGCCAATTTGCTATAAACTCCCACGTTCCTTGTGGAGTTTATAGTTCTATTCAGTCTGTCTCTAGTGCCATCCTTTGACCACCCATTGTGGTAGCTGTAAATACAGTCTTCCTTGTCATTTCTTTAGAGTACCTGAAGCAATGTCCCCCTGCTGTGACTTTGCTTAAGGATGTGATGGAAGTTCTACTTTTCCAAGTTAAAGAAGACCATTTTCTATAAGAATACTGATATTTTTGCAGCTGTTTGTTTATAATTTGAGTTTCTAGGTAAATTGAAATTTGTCTTATCTCAGAGAAATGGCTATTACTTTTATAAATGGCTTGTGTCTCTTCTCGGTCTTTCTAAGTGTTCCTTTGCGGGGCGGACTGCTAGCCCTCCCCCTCTTCCCTTGCAGTAGAGTTGTAATTGGACGTGGCTTCCCAGGCAGAGGCCACTGTCTCAGCCTCCCCGGCAGCTGGGAGTGGGCCCGTCATATGATGAGGCTGAGGGAAGCCCGTGGGCTCGTGGGTTTGAGCCCCCAACACCACCAGTGGCTCTCATGCTTTTCCCCTTCCCACCGTGCACATGCACATGCCCATGGCAGCCTCCCAGACAGAGAGGAAGACAATGTCCTGGAGGTAGCAGAGTCCCCGGATGACTGTGCGGAGCAGAGAAGATCCCCTTGCCGTACCCCGTTTTTACGTGGTCACATGGAAGAAATACCTGCATTGTGCCGCCTCTTCTTCAAGCCTCTGTATTGTTGACCCTGTGTTAGGCTTAATCTTCACTAATACACTCTCCTTCATTTCTGCTGCTTCTTTCTGCCATTACCTCCCGCTTCCAGGGCTCAGTGCTTTTACCCTTTGCATGGACTGACCTTCTCATGACACCACCTAGACAGTTTTTTGAGTGACCTGAAGTCTGAAATGATGCTTCCCGAGTAGTCCCTCCCAGACACTTTTTCTTCTGGGGAAATGTGGTAAAACAAATGATCTACCTCGTCCCCTAGCAAATAGCCAGCAGCTTTTAAATAAAACAGGACCAAGTTGACAACTAGAACCATATTCCAGGCCTACCTCATTGGCAAGGGTTATATCTAGATTTGGGTCCAAATGAAAACGCTGGATAAGTAGAGGTGAAAAACCATGTACTACCTCGTGCTGTAATGAAACAGCTCCTTGAGAAAGGCTAGGTTATCCTAAATATAAGCAAACACTAGCTTTAAAAAAAAGGTCTAAACCTAATGAGGCGCAGTGGTGCACATGTGTAACTCCAGGGAGCTGAGAGGCTGAGGCAAGATCACCTCAAGTTCAAGCCCAACCTTGGTGACTTAGTGAGTCCCTGTCTCAAACTAAAACATAAAAAAAGGATCAGGGATGCAGCTCAGTGCAAAGCCCCTGGGTTCAATTACAGTACATAAAAAAAATCTAACCTACTGCATTACTACACAAAACAACTGTACAGTAAGCTATAAATGATACAATCACTGTGATTTATAAGTTGAATTATAGACCTCCATGACTAAACTGCATGCTGATGGTACTCTTGCTGTTCCAGCACGGACGCCACACACATGTGACCTGCAGAGAGCAAAGAACGAGAGGCTGACCGCTCCCTATGGGAGTTACAGGAACAATGTTGGTGATAAATGCACAAGGAAGGCTGCAAAAAAAGCCAATGTGTTCTTGGATCTCAAAAACAAAAAAAAATTCCGTCCTGCTTCTGACATGTCCTTTCTTACCAAAGAAATCTTCGTGATGATAGTTCACTGAGCTATCATGTTATGTCAGTATATTCTTTCATGCCAATAAATATTAACCCACCTTGAAAATCCACAGTTTTAGATTTCATAAACCACAACTGAAAAATATTAACAGCGTGGTTCCACTTGACAGCAACGCTTACTCATGTTCCAATGCATGTAACTAGGTAACCAAATACTCTCTCATGCACAGGGAACGGTTGTGCTTCGAGTGAAGAGAGAAGGATTGCTCGTGTGTGACACGCGCTGCGCCATAAGCCCAATTGTTTTTGCTTTCATGGTCTTAATATAAACTCCGGAAAGCATTTCAATGGCTCAACCTCAAACTGAGGGAAAAACCTGGTGAAAAGACCGTGCCGCAGTGCCCGCAATTTCCCACAGAGCCAGCCCATAAACAGCACGGACAAGGCGAGCACAAGGACTCTGTTTTACTGACATTTATTTAATAAAATATCTTCAGAAACAAAAAAAGCATTTACCTGCTCTTTAATTATTGTTAATTCAGACACAATATTCTTCACACTGCTGTCTCGATCTTTTTTATCCTTTCCAAATGCTGGGTTATGCAAATTGACTTCTTTCATTGCTAAAAGATTTTGACCACTACGTTTTCTGACCTAAAAGTAAGAAAGAAAAAGAAAAAGAAAAAAAAAAAAAAAAACTCAACGGGATGAAAGTTGAAAGGGTGAGAAAGGAATAGGTTAACAAAGTGACTTGTTAATTGAGTTAAGTCATAGACCATATAAAATTCTAGCTGAATTTACTTTAACCCCAGCTCAAAAAAATTAGTATCTTCTGTCCAGTCTGCCATAACGAGTAGGGTAACACTGGCATAAGTTTAGAGAATGTGTCACATATTAGTACATGTTATTTTGACTTTTTGTGAGAAATGATGTCTTTTCTCTAAAAATGTCACTGGCCAATTACTACAGCTGATAGCTAAGACATTAGTGTAGCTATCTCTGCCTGTTGAACAAAACGTTCTAATTTTTAATATCTTTATTCAGTCACAGTGACTGCAATTAACTTGTATTGAATGTGGAAGTTTGACATCTGTTTTGTTTGTGAATATCTGAAATGTCACTCCTCAAATGCAAAGTCACCTTGTAAACACAGCCAAAAGCTCCGCTTCCCAGATGATCCAAAATTGCATAGTTGCCTATGTATTTTGAAGGAGCTTTGTTCTGATTAATGCTTTCAATATTTTCAGCAATTTGCTTCAGTTCATCCTCCTAACCAAAAAATAAAAATGAAATGAGTTGCTTTAACTGACTGTCATGGCCACACAGCAGCCTGCCAAAATATTTAAAACATAGGACTTACCACTAACAAATTCAGCTTGGATACCAATTCTTCATAAGCACTGATATCACGAACATAATGTCCTATGTCAATGAAGATTTCAAATAAGTCTGTGGGGAAAAGTCTACAAGGAAAAATACACATTCGCTTAGAACTGGGAAATTATTGGTCATTCTTCCTTTTTTCCTAAATTCAAATATTATAGGGAAATAAAGCAACAACATAAAATGTGCCGTGCTTTCGGAACAAGTGATACTACACTAACTGAAGACTTTCCTTACCATTTAAATTCTAGTGAGCGTGTGAGCCTGTGCTTTTGGCTAATCCAGCCACCTGAAAGGTGTGCAGAATATACATGTCATGGTTTGTGTCTAGGTGTCCCCCAAAGCCTCATGCAGTCATGGGGTACGCTTCTAGAGTTTGTGATTGATCCGTGATCCAATGCTGGGCTTATGGATGTGAGGGCTACACCCACCCTGGGGTGGGCAGCCTGCATACAATATAAGGGAGGGAAAGAGGCTTGCCGCCCATCCTCTATTTTTGCTCTTGTTGCTTTTGCTGTCTTCCACCGCCATGAACTCTTGCCCTGTGCCATGTGCCACTCTCCCTTGGAGCCAGCCCAGTATGGATTGAAACCTTCACAAACTGTGAGCTAAATAAACCTTTCCTTCCTTAATTCTAGGTGTTGGGGATTTTGTCTCAGCGGCAAGAAAAAGTAACCAACACAACACATGTGTAATGGTGTGCACTTCTCAACATGGTGGTATTTTAGTCACATTCACCAGCACAACTTTATAACCCTGGGCAGGCCTCTGTCCCTTCAAACAAGTTCCAACCCTCTCAAGGATATCCTGACAGACACTTTGTGTTTCTGTTGATAAGGGAAACTACCAGACTAACTTCGAAAATTTCTAAGTGGACAAAAACAAGTACAGTACATGTTTTGATACCATCCATTTAAGATGTTAATGTCTTTAACAAAAACATACTAAAATCACGATAGCCAGTCACAGGCAATTGAGAGGGGTTGTACGGATGCAGGGATTTATGCTCTTACGTTACCATTTTTGTTAATGTTCAGTATTGCTATAGGAGCTCACTTATATCTGTGCAGGCTAAGAGACCTAAAGACACATGACCAGCACACTGACCATTCTTCTACTGTTGCATCTAAGTCAGGTGTGTGAAAATTTCAGTCCACTGGTCTCTTAAATCGGATGATTCTTTACATTTCTCCAAGCTCATAAGCTCCTACCTTTTAAAGAGTGGCCTGTTTCTTTCCATACTGAAGAGAAACCTCAGGGCTCTGAAAGCATAACACTAGGAAATAGAAGGAAATTGGTTCTTCAAGGTTAGCTCAACAAATTAAAACATTTTCAGGACGGAATTATCAGGAAATAGACATTCAAGTTTCTTCATCGTGAGTGGCTGGCCTAATTTGGAGCCCAAGCTCATACACATCTGAAAACAAAATCACCCACAGCAGGGGTAGTTCTCATATTTAAAGAGTGTTGATGTAGAACGCTGGAGATCTTGGCCTTGTTTTCCTCAGTACTTGCCATTAAATCCTTTCTCGAAAGTACGAAATGAGAACAGAGACAAGAAGTAAAACTCCTGTGCTGAGGAAACCAAACACCCAAAGATTTCCAGAGCTCAAGTTTTATTTTGTTTCTAGCCTGCTATGTATGCCTCAATATTTATATGGTTTCTGTGAGAAAATAAACACGAGAAATGATGGCATATAAAAATAGCCACAGGCACAGTGGACTCAAGCCTGGCAAATTGGTCTCTTGAGTAAAGAGTCTGAAGCATTCCCCAAATAGAACAATCGACAGTAACTCCCTAGAACACTCAGAAAGAGACCTGTGAGGCTTTAACTAAGAAAAATAAACATCTGATATTTTGCAAGGCTGAGAAAAAAAGGAGCTCTCAGCTTGCAACTGCACCACTGAAGTGACTGACACCGGATACATCACACCTGGACCATTTCGCAGATCAGTGATCTAAATATCGGACACATACAAAACTGCCCAGAGAGAGCCATCTGCCAGGCAGACAGCAGAATGGTGACATGCAGGAGAGAGTGACGTGGACGGTGAGGAAGAGACCTGTGCACTCCTTAACACATATCAATGGGATTTTTTTCTCGCAGTATTAGAGATTGAACCCAGGGAGTGCAGAGCCACATCCTCAACCGTTTTGTTATGAGACAGCATCTCTCTAAATTGCCCAGCCTGGCCTCTAATGTACAGTCCTCCCTCCTGAATGCAGGGATTAGGGACGTGTGCCGCTGCCCAGCCTCTTACTGGAATTTTCAGAAACCTTCTGTGCCTAACAAAATCCACTGGCCGGATGGATAAAACTGTGGTGCACTAGAGAACTCAAGCCCCGTGCTCTCTGTTCTTGGTAGCACTTCAGAAAGTGCTGCCTGCCCGCACACGGACACTAACAAGTGTCTCTGCCGGGTTTGGCCATCGGTGTGGATGAGATGGATAAGAGCTCTTTTTAAAAATACTGTTGCTTTTTAGCTGATACACAAACATATACAAATGATACATATTTATGGGGTACCATGTGATGTTTCCATACAGGGACATCTTGTGTTAATGTTTGAACCAAGTTACACATAGCCATCTCCTCAAACACTTGTCATTACAGTTGTCTGGACTTTCTTTACTAAATTAGTTGAAAATGACCGGAAACAACTGCAAAGGCTTACTTTGAATTTGATTTTGCCATTACAATGTCTTTGGGGACTTGGCCACTGTTCACAAAGCACTGGACCCTACATAAATGTACCCCTTAGAGACCAGGTCTCCTCGGGCACCCTGTCCCCCAAGCCACTCAGGAGCCCCCATGCACAGCTGTGTCCTGCTGTCCCCTGTTCGTGCACTGCCCTTCCACCCTGCAGCACATGCCACTGGCACCTTCCTCCTCTACTTGGTGAGTCCAACTTCAACCTTCAAGATCCATTTCACAGGCTTCCCTTTTTAAAGACAAAATGTTTAAAGATGACAAATAATTTCCCTCTGTTGCTATGCTCTGGTATGTAAGGAACACATATTTCTTAAAAAGTAAAACATTGGAGCCAGGCATGATGGCACATGCCTATAATTCCATCTACTCTAGAGGCTGAGGTAGGAGGGTCACAAATTTGAGGTTATTTTGTGCAACTTAGTAAGACCCCTACTCAAGATTATAAAAATGTTTTAAAGGCTGGGGATGTAGCTCAATGGCAGAGCACTTGCCTTGCATATACAAGGACCTAGGTCCAATCCCCATAACTACAAAAATTGAATAAGATAAAAAGTAAAACTAGAACTTACTGGTGAGCCAAGAAATACCTAAATAAATACACTTAATTCTATCACACAGAGAAGCCACTGTTATAGGTTAACACTTTTATTCATTGTTTTATTCATTGTTTTAATATCACTGGTTTCCATACTAGCCTCTGTCACTAGATGTTTGTCCTTTACCACCAGTTTGGAGACCAGCATTAGCCTTAAAAATTCTCACTATCACGGGTTATTTTCCCTAAGTTTACTGAGTATCAAAACTTCAGTAACTTGATACTAAAGAATAAGAGACATGCTTATTACCTGTAGTAGATGGGTTTTTGCTCCATTCTTCTGTTTATTTGGTAAAATTAATTTTGCTATTGTATATACACCATTTTCCTGAAAGAATAAAGGGCCGCGTTATCAGTGACCAGTGACGATGCCATAGAGAGGCACAAACATAATGAAGCAACTAAACAACCTCAAAAAAAGAAGTGTTGCTGTAATTGTGGAACTTTAAGCCACTGGCACAGGACAATACTAAAAGATTAATGTAAGGCTGTATTTGGTGAACACCAAAGACCAGAAACACTGTCTTAAATTTTCAACTGTCTGAAAAGAATGAACTTATAATTAATAAAGTATTTAAATTTAAAGTGATTTCATATTTTAGAATCAAAGAGTGAGGGACTAAACAGGGACAGAATAAAGAGATCCAAGTATCTTTGCAATTTGACTTCAGATACCCTAACAATGAGACATAATTTCCCTTTTTATAGTTTTTATTCTTAAAGAACATAAAATATATTATCTGAATAGTGATGAATCATTGTAACTAAATTTTTCAAAAGAAGTCAACAAAACAATAACAAGATAAAAAGAAAATAAAGTTTATCTGTGAAAATACATTTAGCATCTTTCCAGACCTGTTCTAATAACAAATATATACATGGAGGAATGAATAAAAGTGTTAACCTACAGCTATATTTCTGTTATCTGTTAAATATACAATTTACTGATCTGTACTATGTGTGGGCACTTAGATTAAAACAGCAAAGAGATTTACTTGCCTTCCTGCATTTAATTTTTTATGGTCACTCTGTGAATTATTTGATAGTTTTGCTGTTTTATACACGATAAAACCACACCTTGGGGAGGTTACATCATTTTTTAGAAGCCTATGCAGCAGGGAAGGATGTCAGCATTTGAAGCCCAATCTGGCCAACCCCAAATGTCTCACCTCTGCCACCTTCCCTTGGCAATCTGAGCTCTTCCAACCTTTAATGCAATTGCATATTCCGAAGGAAACATTGCATTGACTCTCACAAAAAAGTTTTCTCTGTACCATTCAATAAGTAGGAGGTAACTTTTGCAATAGAAACGCATAGCAAGGTGGTGCACATAGATACATGTGTTCATATGTGTGTTTGCTTATTTATTTGTATCTATGTGCATATACATGTAACTATATACATAGTAGACTAATCTGAAATGAAAAGTCCAAAGGACATCTTCCCATGAGTTCTGACCCTTCCCCACATTCTCTTCATCTTGTAATTATACCAATAACCCTAATTCACTGGCCTGGCCTAAGTCCTGTTTATGCAATAGCCCATTCCTGACACGGAGGCCCTCAGCTCCTGAAGAAGAATGAACCTTGTACAATCACAAAATGGACCAATGACAGGAGACTAAGATAGATGAGTCCAGAAGGTAAATTTCCAGCTTCCTCATTCTCTGCTAGCCAGCTGCCCCTAATGAACCGCTTACTCTGTAAGAGAGCTGCTGTCCCGGCATTTTGGAGCCAGTGACCCCTCTCAGGTCTCTGTCTCAGATAAAGCCCGTCCTTGCTATGACTCTCTCTCTCTTTCTCTCTCTCTCTCTCTCTCTCTCTCTCTCTCTCTCTCTCTCTCTCTCTCTCATTTCTTACATAACAATGAGTTATACTTGTGAAATCTGTTTCTTGGCAATAAATACTTTTGTTTAGTGTGTCTCTATCACTTCTAACTGAATAACATAGCACAGTCTTAGATAAAATGACTGTTCTCCTTAACTATGGTATCCCCTGTGCCCAGAATTAAACCAATTCAGAATAATAACAACAAAAAGATAAAGAAAAGGAAGTGGACTGTCCACAGCATAGGAAAGAAACATCAACATAAATGAACGACAAATCACAAGTGTGTTAAAGAAGGAAGGGCTCTGTAAGTTAGGTAAGAAATGTTAAAATGTTTAAAAGCCACACGATAGGATCCCAAAACCTGTGCTCCATGGTGCAGACTGCAACTGAAGTCTGGTTGATCACAACAGGAGGAAATGGCCCAACCTTGGAGCCTGGGCTGCTCACCTGGACCACCTGGTGGGCGTTGGTGTCGTTGAGCACCAGCTCTGTGAGGGCAGCACAGCAGGCTGGAAAGAGAGCATCAAGCCAAGTGTGTGTCAGTCAGCACTGTGAACACACAGCACCCGTGCTCACCTCAGGGTACATCAGCACCTGCCTCTACAGGGAATGCTACTGGCACAGCCACTCAAGAAACACTGACGTTCCTTCTGGCACCACTCTGGAAAAGGGGAAGCTGGCTTTTAATGGTGTCTAGCTCACTCTTTCTGTATTTCACGTGCATGGCGATCCCACAGCAACCTGTTATTGAACACCTACTGTATACAAGAAGGCAGGGTTTGTATTTATCTGGTTCATGTAACCTTCGGTGGTCGACATGTGCCTGGCACCTAACAGATGCTCAATAAATACATCAACGATGCTTGATAAATTCATGAAGGCTTTAAATATATTATCTGAATTAATTCTTATAATCAGGAATGTACTACAGTTACCAGTTCAGCTGATGAGAACACAGATTCAAAGAGGTTAAACAGGCTCAAACACACAACTTGTAAGTGGAAGGGGCCAGGAGTTCAGTTCTAGTTGGCTGGACATTAAATCTCAAGTCCCAGAATGTACCTTTCCTGCCTCCTCGCAACCACTGTGACATTCTGCACTGAGAACCTCGTCCTCTCAGAGGTTTGCCACACACCACAAAGGATAATACCACTGCGCTAAGTCCTTGACACTGATCTAGCACTCTGCTAGAGACTTTATATATGTGCTTATTTCATTCCCACAACAACCACCCAGTACTAATATCATGACTGGCATCACCATTTTACCTGAGCAAAACTAAAGCATGGAAAGGTCAAGAACACCACCCAGAGCCATAGGGCCACCCAAGCAAGTGTAGTAAAAACTTTAAGATCCTTTATGTTTTTAATTTTCATTTGTTTTTCCTTTTGTATTTAAGTATAAAATAAGCTAGGTAATGTCTGCAAGCCCTCCGTAAGTGTCAGCTCAATGACGTATTACATACCTATATGCTCTGTAACCACCCCCACCAGAAGAAGATACAGGATGTTCCTAGCCCACCTTATTCCCCTCCCTAGGCATGAGCCACCTTATAATCCCACATGGGGCAACCACTCTTCCACCTTCAGTCACCTTTGATTTGTTCCACTCTGTGGAGACTCCAAAATGAAAAATATTAAGAGCTTTGAGATTCAACTGGATTGCATTTCTGGGAGAAGTTTCACACAGGAAACCCCCAACCTGAGCCTGTGATTCAAAAGAAGCCCTTTGGGGGGAGCAGAAATTGTGAATGAAAGGTGCGAGCTTAGCTTTCTGTCTTCATGTGTCTGTGAGGAAACATCTTGTCCATTTTCCAGGAGGAAGTAGGAGGGAACAGAGAAAGCCTGCCTTCTCATACCCGACCACTGCTCATCCCTCCCCCATGCACCTTCCCCTCTCGGTATCTCCCTAATTTACTTCCGGCACACACTGTGCCCTTCTCCTCCCTCCCTGTGGGCTGTAGCAGGACACCAGCATGGCCAGCAGCTCAGAGACTGCCCTGTAACCCCACTTGTCCCAAAGACCAGATGCTCCTGCAAAGGGTAGAGACTGCATAACTGTTCATGGTAAATCTTCCAAGAAATGTCTCCATGAATAGCTGCACTGGCTTTGGTGTGAAAATCTCACACTGGGGAGGATCTTCCTCTGTCTTCTCCTTGAAGGAGGATTTCCCAAGATCTAGAAAATTATAGGCAGCATGATTCTGGCCACAGAGCAAACTGCATTCCCAATTCCAGCTTTACCAGGAATAAAGCTAAAATTCTCTTCCTTTATTTCTAACTTTACGTTTGTTTCTCAGTAAGTTAAGAGCACGGAAGGAAGAGGAAAGTTTATTATATCATTAACCTACCAGTCCAACTCCAGCACCAAGATGTTTCTGGCATCCACATGGATTTAACTGTACAAATTTATAATCTTATAAACTGTGTCAAATTATCACTAACATAATAATTTTATAATAACAAATAGCAATACAATATAACAAGGAATACTATATCAAATAACAATATGGCATAAATACCTGCTTGGAGAGAGAAAGTGTTTTCTTGTATCTCACGAGGACTGAGATCTTCTGACAAATGAAGCTGCTGGATTCGGCCTGCGGCATTCGCACTAGACAGGCTTCCAATGGAGGAACGGTCAGAAACAAAATTTCTGTCTCTGAAATGTTAATGCACAAACCACATATCAATTTTCCTTTGTGGTCAGTTCATTCAGTGTCATGTTTTAAAATCTTTCCCTCCACAAGTCTCAAAGGCTTCTACCTCATTGTCCTTACTGTTTCACATTGAATACACATAGAATTGATATTTGTGTATGGCGTCCATCTCTCCCTCCCTCCTTCCTTCCCTCCTACCTTAATTCCTTCCTTCTTCCTTCCCTTTCTCTCTTTTTCCCTCCTATAATTAAGAGCATGTCACACTACTTGTTGGACAAACTGTTCTTTCCCTGATGCTTACAAGGCTACCTTTTTTTGAATTCTATTCTGCTATAATCAGCTCACTTGAAAATAACGCAGTCATGATTATTCCAAGTTTTCTTTTCCTAATGAAATTTCTCCTTTATTTGAGGAAAATTTTATTTTTCCCTCTACCTCAGGAGTCTCAATTATCCATATGTTGAAACCCCATTTCTTTAATGTCTTAATTGTCTTCATTCCCTTGTCTTTTTCCTCCACAATGCATGCAACTTTCTGAAGCTTGCCCTCCGCTGTACTACGTCCAGTTTGCTTCTCTTCTCAGTTAATTTATTAGATCTGCGGGTGTTTTTCCATTCCGTCTTCTTCCCTGTCTTTCATGATCTGTTTAATGTCTTTGTTAAAAGTAAAGCATTTGTTTTTCTATTTTAGTGCACTGTCTTCCACAATAGATTTTTTATATGTCCTTCGCTCTCCTTGTTCCCTTTTACTTTATATGGTTACTGTATTTTTTTTCATTTATTTATTTTTCAGGCAACAGTTCTACCTGGACCTGTACGTGCTCACATGATTCCCTTCCATGACGGCCTGGTGAACTTGTGCCCTTTTTTAGTAGGGATGGGGGAGGCAGTGGCATTGGGTCACAAGACAGTCACAACTGATCATCCCACGAGAGAACAAAATCATCTTAAAACTTCTTTGGTAGGGATGACGCCACCTGATCGAAAGCGCACCTTTAATTTTAAGGTGAATGTGCATGAATAGGTCCCCCGGGAGCCACCCTAATCACGCGCCTGTTCACACGCAAGCCACCAGATACTCTCCAGCCTCCTCCCTTCCCGCCAGCACCAGGCAGCCCTGGGGCAGGCACAAGCTCTGAAAGGACATTATTTATCCAGGTGGGATAATAAATTCTCCCAGAAAAGCACGATGCATTCAGAACAGAATAAGAGCTGACATATATCTTCCCAGGGAAGAGTTTTCCAAACAGTACACCATTGATACGGGCTGGGAAATGGCTGTTTCAGCATGAAAGAACTCTTTTAAAAGGACAGTTAAGACCTGAGCAAATAAGGAAAATGCTGCCTTGTCTTAGACTCAGTTCTAAAGAAAAGATAGGTTTTTGTTTTAAAAGTATTAACTATACGTAAATTATTTTTGCATTAAGAAAATAGCTACTTTCTAAAAGGATATAACACAACTGTTTTAAAAGGTTTGATCGACCAGTAATAAATAATATTAACTACAACCATCACCATCACCATCTTCATTCTATAAACCCAAACAAAAAAATCTTTAGCAATCCTTAAGTATTTTGACCAAAGGGCTATCTTTTTAGGTTGCAATACTTTGGAAAGATTTATAATTTAAAATAATTGAGGTTTTTAAATGATGTTCATAAAACCAGATTGTCAACAATCTTTAATTTTACCCTTTATTTTGGTACTGACAGAAATCATTACAAAGCTCATATCTCTGTGGTCTGTTCCTATGCTCTACAATGTTCTTCTCTCAGAGAAAATGAAGTTTGTAATACAAAGTTCCACAACATCCCTAAAGGAATAACATGTGCAAAGTTCTAATAATATTGACTTGATGATATCTGGTTATATTAAAATTGGTAAGGCACTCTGCTTTTATCAGAATGAGCTTTATTTATGCACTGCGGGTCTTAAAATGTGATTGCTTTCAAGCAGATGTATTCATTTTTAACTTTAATTTAGCACCCATAAGGCTGACTTATGCTTTATAATAATAGGTAATAGAACTATCCCATGGAGGTATCAAAACATTATTATTTAATACTTGCACGTATTCAGTTCATAAGATATACTAATGACTAATGACACTGCAATATACATCAAGAAACTATTTTAATCCATCCCTTCTCTATACTCATGGCTTAGAATTTGAATTCTGTGTGTGTGTGTGTGTGTGTGTGTGTGCTACAGTCATCTTGTCACAGAATCCCCAGCCTTCAGCCATTATAACAAAGCAAGCCAAAACCCATGCTTACCCTCGTAGAATATGAAGCAGTTGCTTAATGCCTCCCCAAATGCGAATTTCCACACTGGTCTCAGGGTCCTCGCAAACCTGGACCAGAATCCAGACAACGCTCCAGAGCAGCTTCAGGTGGTCTGAGTGCAGCAGACTGAGGAGGACGGGGATCCCCTCATACAGCTTCACTTGCTCTTTCACCTGGGGCTCGGCACAGAGGAGGCGCAGCAACTCTGCTGTCAGTCTGAAGGGAAGAGAGGCAGACGGGTGGAATCACAGCACGGCCGGCTAATGACTTCACAGTCATGCGGGTGCTATCGCGACTGCACAGGATGTAACTCTAACATGTTGCAAGTCATCAGACAACACCTATTTCAGCCACAAACCAAAACCAAATATTTTCAGTTTTGCTGGCCGTACAATGTCCATCCTATTTAGCTATGCCAAGATAGTGTGAAAACAGCATACGCAATACATAAAAATTAAGGGGCAGATGGTATTACAATAAATCTTTATTTACAAAAGAAGCAACAGGCCATGTGTCGTCTATGGGCTGCAGTTTGCTGACCACTCTTCTAAATGTTATATCATTATTGGTGTATCTAAACACCTGCTGACCAGCAAGTAGGTAATGAGTACAAACAGTGTGACTTGTATGTGCTCAAAGCAAAGGAATATAAACAGCCCTATTCTAATCTTCAGAAACTGTGTGCATGGTTATAAAGTAAGACAGTCCAAAAAAATGTCAAAAAGAAAACTGCAATGCAGGGAAATTATGTGTAAAGTCCTCAGTGATATCTGGGAAATAAAATTTTTAAAATGATGGTAAAAATACAAGGTTCAGCTGAGCCATGAAACACTGTGATGATAGAGGTTTTGTGGAATCAACCTTTGTCCTTCGATCTCATACTCCACGTGCTGTCCCAGGGCAATGTCATCCATTCCCATGGTTACAAACACTTCCCATCCCCGGGCATCATGATCTAGCCCAAGCATTGCTCATAACCTTAGGAAGTCATAGCTACATACATATTCTACAAGTGCTCGTGCATGCTATGTCTAAATTCAACTTTATCTTCCTCTGCAAATATGTTCTTTCTCTTATAACCCTGATTGGACTCATGGCACCACAACCTTTCAATTTTCCAAGGCAGAAGATTGGGAGTCATTCAAGACACTTCCTTCAACACCCTGCCACTGGCAGCCAAGAGCTCTTTGTGTGCCTTATTTCCTGGGCCACCACGGAGAGGAATTCTCCTGAAAGGCGTACAACTAACTCCACTGCTGTTCCCATCCTCATGATCCTTGATCATGTTCAAGATCCATGCCTTCTGTTATCCACCTCTCCAGTATCCTCCTTCCCATGCTGTTTTACAATCCCTTTCCCTCAAGCAGTTCTCCATCTTCCTCCCTGTCTTGGTTACTTTTCCCTCGTTGCTGAGACAAAATACCCAACGCCCAAAATGAAGGAAGGAAAGGTTTATTTAGCTTACAGTTTGTGGAGGTTTCAGTCCACACTTGGCTGGCTCTGAGGCAGAAGGTAGCAAAGCAACAAGAGCAAAGGGGGGAATGGCAGCCGAACAGCAATGCAGCCAGAGCAAAAAGGGAGGAATGGTGGCAAGCAGCTTCTTTCTCTGCCTTACTTTGTAAACACGCTACCCCCACCTAAGGGGCCTGTAGCTCTCACATAATCTCCATGCCCTCCTCTTCCACAGCCTCAGGATGTATACAAAGTAAGCACCCTGGTTTCCTGCTGAGTCACTTAGCCAAACCTCTAGACTCCCCAAGTTGACACAGTGTATCAACCATAACACTCCCCTATTCAAATTTTTCTTGCTATGACACTAAGAATATGTGTTCTTTGGTAAACTGTAACTCTTTGCAATCTCAAACTTTCTACACCAGACATTCTCTCTATGTTATAAGTAGATCTCAGTGTGTGGATATATTTCAGTCTATCCCACCTCCATCTACAGAGTTAGCAGAATAATCTCTCAAAAACTAATGTGATCATGATTAAAATTTTTTTTGGAAGTCCCCACAGAGACATGTTAACATGTGTATTTCACACACAAACCCCATCATGACCCGGACAAACTTGTCCTGTTGGCTCATCTATAAAACATGAAAAATATAGTTTTTGTACATATCAAATGAGTAGACACACAAAAGTGTTTGGAGCATGACCTGGCACATATAAACCACTGATCAAAAATTAGCTATATTTTTTATTTATTATTGAATGTCAGTCAGAGCTTTTAGCCACTTCCCTATTTTGTACCAGCTATGACTCAACTTGCACATTCCTCTCACATCTCCAGACTGGAGTACGTTCTGTCTCCGTTTGCCACTCTGTTCTGCCTAGAAATGATCTCTGTCCTTTAGGAAACCAGGCCTGACCCTTCGCTTGCACTGGGAGGTCTCTGTTCCATGTTCCCAAGTTCCCTGCGCATCCATTCACCTAAGCACTACAGTGGAATCTGTGATCCTTCTGCCTGTCCCCACCCCTACACGGTACATATGTACGCTATTCATCTTTGGTTTTCTAATATCTGGTGCAGCATGGCCCCTTTTTCGGTGAGTAGTTCAAATAACCTATTATGTAAATATATAAACCCTTGTCTATATCTAACACTTTTGCAAAAGAATATTAAATGAGTTTTAATGAAGAATCCAAATTGCTACAAATTAAATTTCAGGGCTTCATTGCTTGGGATTTCTGTTATCTATCTTGGCTCTTTAGAAAATCATGACTCAATTAAATATCAAATGATATAGATTGTAACTCTACTTAAATATAACCAAGTAATTATCTGGATATGGTAATCCTTTAAGCAATATGCAGCTTAAGTACAGACAATTCATTTCACTCAAGATTCTGTCCTAAGTTATAACAAGTGATCACAAAAGAAGTCAGTCAGTTTCTTATTTAACTCATCTTAAGTAAAAACAGGCTCAGCAACCTAATCACTTAGTCCCCACACAGTCTGAAAGTATAAAAAGTGGACCACTTTCAAGTTTCTTTCTCATAAAAAGTATGCGAGTAACTAAATAAACACAGTAAGCAAAGGTATAGACTTAGTTTATCATAAGATTATATAGTTGTATCCTATGCACAGATCTAGAATTAATGCAGGGAAAATAAATCAATACTCTTCCTTGCACTAGTTTTATTTTAAAAGCTTAAACAGAAAATAACTCCCACATTAACTCATGAAATTCAGTTAACATTGTAAATAATATAACATGATAAAAACACTAAGCATTTACACATCAAGCATGACACATTATATTATTCAACTTTAGCAACCCTACCTCTTGGAAAGCAAGTCATATTCATGTAAAATCATCAACAGGTTTTCTACAATGTTGAGTTCACTTATCTTCTCCCTACATTCTGGACTACAAATTTTAAAACATTATTAAGTATTAAAAATATATTTCACTACATTAATTCCACATCGAAGAAGAGATCAAACAAAATGAATTACATGCTATGCACAAAAAAAAAAAACAGAACAATGATCCATTCATTGGCACAAAATATATTTAAAGCATTTTTATTTAAAATAATGATACCTATGGAAGAACAGTTTTTCTAAAGAAATTTTTAAGGTCAGAGTGTTTGAAACTGTTCTGTAGGTGGAAACAAATACACAGCTAAGAATGATGATGAAAGGTCAGGGAGATTTCACTGGCAAAGAAATATTATGATAATATCAAAAAGCAGAAGTAGCTGGGGGTTAGGTGAAAAGGTATGGTAAATATCTTAAATCAGGAAGAAAAGCAGAATTTTAAGCAGTGATTTGCCTTTCCAAGGTAAGTTTTAAAATGATACTTTCCACTCAAGATTCTCTTTGACCCATTTCTTCATGCTTATTTTTCTGCAAATTTTAACTGAGAAGGGGACAAAGCAACTGATCTATATTTCACCCCTTATCTAAAGTGCTATAACAGCAGAACTGTGAAGTATATTTAAATATACCTACCTTTCTGCTAAGCTGGCCAGGGCCAAAAGGGCACCCAATAGAACATTAGTGTCTCGGGCACTGAGCAAATTTACTAGTGTCTGAAAAACAGGAAAAAAAGATTAGTTACATAAGTACAACAATCTTCTTTAATGGCATAATGCTTCCTTCTCAACACAGAGGTTTAGCCTTTTAGAATTTTTCGTTAGTTTTTAAAGATGTACGTGCATGCATAATTAAGAAGAAACTAAATATACAATTTTATAGCTGTTCATTCATTTCCTTCTTAATATTACCCTCCAAAATTTCTTCATAACAACAAATATCTTTCTATAAGCATCACTTTTATTAAAGAGGATCAAATTATTTCTTATGTCAAAGACGAGAAGGCGATCTGGAGAAGGAGGGAGAGGGTAGGGCAGGAGAAAGGAGTAAAAATGATCAAAATACAATATGCACACACACCAGCCCCTAAGATGAGTGTAATTACTATGTATTCCAAACAGACTAATAAAAAACATAATTTTTATAAATAGAATCAAATTATCTATTATACTACAGCTTTGCTTAGAGAATAATGAAAAATGCTATTCACTTATATCAAGTCTTCTATAGGATCTTTTGTTTTTTATTTTGTAATCGATGCAGAAGCTTAATCTTAAAGGCAGTTTGGATAAACATCAAAATTCCTCGTTTTTTCCAGAGGGCAGGTGTCCTTCTCTCTGTGACTCCCAACTCCGGAGCGCAGCCTCTCATGGCCACTTCTTCCCCAGACAGGAAAGGGAAGGGACTGCATCACGCGGTGCCTGGCCAGACCACGTACTTCCCTTCCTTTCCCTGTGCCCAAGTATTTGCTCAGCACTTCTGACCCCTCTCCTGGGGAAGGTGGACACTAACGGGATGGATTCTGGTAGTGACCAGGCCCTGAGCGCTCACTGTGACCCAGGCATCATACTGCATACTTTCTAAATTAGGAAACAGGATGTTGAAACTTCTGTTTTTCTTGCAAACCGTACAAGCAGTGTTAATCCTGCAGTGTCCCACGTGCACTGAGGCGGTGTGAAAAGGGCCTCACTGGTGCTTGTAAGCATCACCCCAAGTAACGTGACTTCGCTGGAAATTTTGTTTCTGTCAGTTGCCTTTACCAAGTTCTCATTAATGTATATCTCTTGTCTTCCATACACAATTTCAAAATAAGAACAACCCCAAAAATTACAACCCCAGTTGGGTGTGGTGGTGCACACCTGTAATCCCAGCACTTGGGAGGCTGAGGCAGGAGAATCGCTATGAGTTCAAGGCCAGCCTGGGCTACAAAGTGATTAGTCCAGTAGTACTCACTATGAGTAGCTCATAGCTCAGAGTAGTACTCATGGAGAGTAGTTCATAGTACTCCCTATGCAGCCCAGGCTGGTCAAGGGCAGCCTGAAGTACATAGCAAGACCCTGTCTCAAAAACGTACAACCCAAACAGATTCTAGATAAGAGTTGAAATTTGTGCAATAACTGCTAGAAGGATTGTTCTTGGTTTCCATTATGTGGATTTCATCCCTTTATCATCTCTTTCTTTAAAGCAAATAAAGTTATGATGCTATTGCTATGTTTCTGAAGCCTTCCTCTTCTTCTTTCATTACTTTTCTCTGTCTTCTAACACAGCTCCCAAACTTCAATACAGACACATCATTTTCAAATTTTCTGCCATGTTGACTTACCATGCCTTTAAATTAATGTTAATTCAAAAATTTTCTACAGTCGTCCCCTAGACCACTGATGGTGAACTTTTTAGAACTTTCAATGATATAAACAGCCTGTTTTAGCGTGCGTGCCATAGGTTTGCCACCACTGCTCTAGCCCAGAGCACCATGCGCTGATGTAGGCAAAATGCTCCAGTACACTGGTAAGTGGCGTCCTAGGTTATAAATATTCCTGTTGGCTCTAGGCAGCTATCATCTAAACAGTTTTGTTATAATATAAGTTTAATCTGTTTTGATTAAACCTGCATTCACCCATGAAGTACATATTTGCTCCATATATTATGCCAATCTTGTTATGTAATATTATCCCATCTTATTATGAGATTATAGAATATGAAATTGCCTACATTCTTTTTTTTTTAATTTTAAAGAATAAAAGAAAGATAACATAATAATGGGAGGACTTAGCAAATTACAGACAAAATGGTAGGAAATTATCAATGGTTATCATTTTACATATTATTATCTACAAAATAGTTTCTCAGGAAAACAAATAGACAAATAATAGTGAGTTAAAGACAAAAGAGGTAGGAGATTATCAAGAGTTGTTGTGCTATACTTTGGTATCTTCAAAGTGGCTTCTAAAGAAAATAAATAGAGCTATACATGAGTGACCTATTGAAAAATCATTAACTATTCTCAATGGTTGTTGTAGGAAACACATAATAATAAACATACATTATGAAATAGGATAGGAACAATACAAACTTAACACAGTTATGGATAGATTAGTAGGAAAATATCAATGGCTGCTGTAATACGTGGTGGTATCTTCAAAGTGGTTTCTCAGGAAGACAGAGATATGCAAGAAGGATCTAATAAGTAGTTACAGCCTAAGGGTTGTCAAAAATAGCATATTACCTCCTCACCAGTGACTCCTTTCACTGAGGTATGACGGCTGGAAGGAAGGCCAGGATTGAAAAGAAGGACCAAGAGACTTGCACCTGTGTCTAGCAACAGGCTGTTTTCTTGTTCCTCCATAGTCATGATTACCCAGGACTCCTCGATGGAGATGATGGTCTGGCCAGAGGGAGAAGGCAGACCATGACCCAAGCCCTCTCATTCCTGTTGGACTAACTGGTAGCATGGGTCTGAGCTCTGGGGCCTCCACCTCAGAGGGCAGACCGATCTCCAGTGGTCTCCTTTGCATCCAGGGCATGGCCCATGGGGCCTCTTAGGGCAGTTCCTCTTGAGGTAGCATGGCTTTTAACAGTGGTAGCTGATGAATGCAGTTGTCGAGTTCTTCTTGGAGCCCCGGGAATCAGAGCTGGGATCTGTTTCTCTTAGTGGTGCAGCAAAAGGAGCTGCTTTTTCTCAGTCTCTTTGTTTTCTCTCCTTGGCCTCCTCCTCATCATGGCTATAGAATACTGAGGAGGCAATTCTTACTAACATCTCAAGTGAGCTATCTGGGGTGAAAGCCATTCTTTGTAGCTTTTTCTCTCCAGCTTCCCATTGCTTTGGGACCCCACAACCAGTTAGTGTCCTCTCCCCAACTGTCAGCACAGGCAGCAGGAATCCTGCTGCAGACTTCTCCAGAGCTTCACCACAGCCTGTACTGTCAGGGGAAGAATGGCTTCCAATGAGTCTCTGCAGGTATTGTGCAAGGTCCTCCTGGTTTACAGCTTGCGAGTGGCTCTCGTGACCCCAGTCCACTGGACCTCTGACTCCGTGGGCTTAGTCTGCATTCTCATGTTCTCTGAGTCCTTGTTCAGCAGCTGCTCCTCCGCTGGCTCTGGACCTTTCTTGTTCCCAATGGCAGGAGCAAGAGTGGCTCATTGTATGGCATATATTCCCAGGGGTTGTTCAAAGTTTCAATGATTCACACACATCCGTGGGTGGGCAACTGCAGTTGGTGCATGGTGGGCCAATTGTGTCACTGTTTCTCTGTGTCATGATAGATCCCAATTGAGCGGCGGCGGCCGGCCTAAGGGCCGGTGCGCAATAGCGCTCGCCGCCGCATGGCTCCCCATGTGCTGGGGGCCCACCCTCCGGGAGCCAGCAGGCAGGAAGCTAGCCAGCCAGAAGGCTGGTGCTCCCCACCCGCAGCTCCCTGTGTGCCGGAAGCCCTCCTTCCGGGGAACCACAAGGCCAGGAGTGAGTCGCCGGTCCAAAGACCGGCGCTCCCCACCCGAGGTTCCCCATGCGCTGGGGGCCCCGAAATTGCCTACATTCTACCAATTTTGAGCTACAAACAATGGCAGTTTCATACGGTTAAACCTAACATGACCCCATATGACATATTGAATTTATTTATAAGTATATATATATACACATTTTATTTGTTGCTTACCATTTATTTATGTACAAACACACCTTTAGGGTCAATTGATATATAGCCAGAGTTTTTCAAGCAACATTTAAACTAAACAATAAATTTAGTTCATATTACATGGCATAGAAAAAAAAATGTTTCAGGAAGAGCCTTTATTTACTTATCCACATTGACTCCCCAGGCTGGTAAAGAATATAAAAGCGTTGACAGAGAGTCACAACTTCAGGCCGGTTTAGCGAGCCAGTGAGTCACAATTACATGCAGCGTGACCATAAAGGTTCTGAACCGGGCATGGGAACCATTGTCATCGAGAGCCACCTGCAGTTAAAGCACTCACTCTCTTAGGGCCAACTCACCTTGTGGGCTCCGCTTGTGGTGACCCATTCTCTTTGGTCTTTGACAGCAGCAAGTTTTTGAAAAATATCTGTAAAGGAAGGAAGAGATGGGGAGCTTAAAGGAAGCAGTACTCAGAGAAGCCAGGTGTGCAATACTGATGCGCCAGCAGAGGAAGGGCAGAGGGAACACACACACACACACACACACACACACACACACACACACACACACGGAGCACGGTGGGAAGAGGGCAGGGCCACTTACCCCTCAAGCTCAACTAATGCTGATTTCATAATATTACTGTGCTGCTCAAATATGGGAATACCAAAAACAACAAACCTCTCCCTTCACTTAAAGTTGAACAAGTTTCTTGACATCGTGACAAGTTCAAAGCAAGGCCTGTTCTCCAGAGATCCTCCTTAGGGGGATTTCAACTTAGGAAGAGGAGAGGGGAGGCCAGCGAATGGGATAAATGTGGCAAGGCTCCTCCACTGAGGGAAAACTGTCATCCCAAAGAAACAGCCTGGCCGGGCATGGTGGCACATGCCTGTAATCCCAGGACCCGGGAGGCTGAGGCAGGAGGATCGTTGCGAGTTCAAGACCAGCCTGGGCTACAAAGTGAGCTCAAAGTCAGCCTGAACTGCATAGCGAGACCCTATCTCAAAAAGACAAAAACAAACAAACAAACAAACAAACAAAACAAAGAAACAGCCTGATGCCTGGGGCTTGCCACAAACTCCTGACCCAGCACCTGAGAATCAGGGTGCTAGTGTGCTGCTCTGCAAACAAACGTGGATGAGACGTCCGCTAGCCAACAGGAAACAAGTGGCATCATCCCAACACTGTAGGGAGGGGGTTCCCGAGAGAAAACACTAAGTGTCCAGGGAGCACCTCACACACAGAGACCTGTGTTTGCATGTCACGTCTTCAGGTGAGACTCTTTTTGTTTTCTCTCTTTTTATTTTTTTTTTAAATTTTGAGACAGGTTCTCACTAATTTGTCTAGACTGGACTCAAACTTGCCATCCTCCTGCCTCAGCCTCCCAGAGTGTTAGGATTACAGGTGTGAGCCACCATGCTTGGCTTCCTTTTTCTTTTTTTCACACTCTGAATTTTTTTTTATGTTCCAAATTCTGTAAGGTAGGTATTGTTGTTAACCAAATAGTATAGGTGAAGTTGAAGTCTCTGCTCCTTTAACAGAAACAAAAGAGGCAAAAAACAAAATTTATTTCATGGAAGACTCTCTTACACGAAATAAACTGTCCTTTCCAAAGTAACAGCTGGGAGCTGAAAATATTCTGCTGTGTATTTTGCCCCTGCATATGATACCTGGCATGGATTTTCACACCCTAACTATGAACAGAAACCTTCAAAAGTGTTCACGGCATCCTTTCCTGCTGCCGCAAACACCATACTGCTTCCTGGCCCTGAGACCATGCTTACATGTCATGTTGACGAGCTTGTCCACACTGTGCTGCTCCTCTCCATAGCCAAGGTACTCGTTGGCCACAATCTCCATGTACTGCTCGAAGAACCAACCAAAAAGACAGAAAGGAGGGACACCAAAACCACAAGTAGGTAAGGCGCAAGGCTGTGTATTTCTTAAAATGGGCTCTAGGTGGCACAACAGATTCACCAATTATTACTCAGTGCTCCTGGCCGGAAATTAAGGGCAGGACCATGCAAAGGCTGTGCACACTCAGTAAAGCCCCCAAAGGACCTGTAACTGAATAAATGTGTGGTGTAATTTAATAGCGAAATGTAAGACATGGAACAGAAGTCTAATTCTTTAATTTTACCATTTCAAAGGGTTTTTATAAGATACTGCATGTATTTCTATTAGCCTTATCTTTTACAATATCTGAAATTATGCCTAACCCACATAAAGGCAGATATCAGTAAGAATAAAATGAAGTTATATAATTCCTCACTATTGATAACTGATTATAATAAGAAATAGGCTCAGAGAAACACAGAATTTCTGATACTACAATGGAAGATAAAGTGGATAAGAAGAAACTTTATAACACAATCTTATGAAAGATTATTTCATTAAATGAGATAAACCGAATCTATCATAATTCTTTAAAAAATCTTAGGCATGAATCCATTCTCAGGAAAGAGAATATGATAAAATAGATTTAAACTGTCATTACACTCAAGCTTCCACTAAGAACTCAGGATGAGTTTACCGGGCCCCAGGTGTGTTGCGTAAATCATTCTTCACGTGCACACTGTGGGTGTTAGGACAGCGAACTGTTGCAACTCTCCGACAGACACTGTTGCATTAATAAAGCCGGACCACCACAATGCTCAGAATATATACACTCATCTGCTTAACTTCCCTCAGAAAAATAAAGAAGATCATTCCTAACTCCATTTATTTATTAATATTTTCATAGCAGAGTAGTCATTTCCATGTGAAAATGTTTTAACCAACTTCCTAACATTTCCTCCTATCACACGGAATGCATAGTTCTGAGGAATTTACCTGCCAGCCCATGCCCGTTCCTTGTCTTTACTAACTACAGACATGTGACTTTCATGGGACTTTTTAGTTTCAAAAGACTAGGTAAAATGTGCTCAGTCATCCAGAATGAAGCGTTGTGGGTCTCTCCCCGCTCAGCCAGCGTCATCCTCAGGCTCATCCTTATCCCTCCACGCCACCCCACCCAGCAAGCAACACACCATGGGAAAGTCGCTGTGTGCCCACACTTATTCCATCCTTGCCCTTGTCACGGCACAGAACGAGGAGGCACCACCAGCCACCAAACAGACCTTACCTGGGCCAGGTTTTCGATCCCACCCAGAGTATGGAGTATCTCCTAGGATAACAAAAATAGCAGAATATAGGTAAGGGATGGGGCGGAAGGGAAGTAGAGTTCACAAGCAACTTCCTGTACTAGGTCACAGGTTTATAGTTAGTTTCTGAAGTTGCACATTCTAGCATTAATATGGAAATTTTAGTGTTTGTCATTCACACTACACTTAAGATAAACTTAATAAATATGAAAGTCAGATTGAAAGGAAGACAGTGATTATATGCGTAGAACTGCACCCCACCTGCGATCCTTTGTTCTTCCTCCTGCCATTAAGTGTTCGATTGGGAATAGGCGTTAGAGACTATTTCATTCAACCCTCTCAGATCACACTCAAGAACAGCTAGGGCTCAGAAAGGTAAATCATTTTGCCTAGAGCATCGTCAGCCTCCCAGACCTTTTTCTAGGTCTCTATCAGGTGGGCTCCATGAATGGGCAGCACACCAATCACACCCGCACTAAGCTCTCCGACCTCCTCAGACCTGCTCACACTTGGAATTTCAACAAGGTACCCAGGTCATTTGCCCATACAGTAAATTTTGAGAAGCACTACTCTAGTAAACTACACATTTTCTTACAATTATTAGGATAATGGTCTTATGAACTCCATACTCCAAACAAATGTGAGGACCATCTTCCCACCATGCCGCCTGATACAGAGCTTTTCATCTGATTCCCAATAAATAGATGCTTTCTTATACTTCTGAAGCTGCCCTAAAAGTGCTAATTAGGGAAAAGAAGAGAATAGAGTTTGGGGTTGTGAACAGGACGGTAAGTGTGTGCTCTTGGGTTATCCACACTGGTGGGTACCTGCGGGCAAATGTGTTTCCAAGGGGCCCTACCCCGTTTAATTAAACCTGTATCTCTCTCCTTATTTAACATGTACAAAAAAGGAAGTTATTTTAGATGCAAACGCTAACCACAATTTCAGGTCTGTGAAATGCGCAAGGATGAGAACATGAGTATGAGAGCACACGCTTCAGTTCCACTGTGTATGCAGAAACACTACAAGTTTTCAAGGTTCTCGGGCCCACATTTCCTTATTCTGTGTAAAGTGAACCTGGACACGCTGAAGATGCCCATGTTTGAAGTAAGTGTGAAGGAACATGGATAGCTCCATCAGAAATAGCTTCATGACTGGGTGCTAATTTGAAGCCTCATCAACACCATTCACCCTCTGAAAGTTATAATTAAAGAACATAAGGATGTTGCATACATTATCTCTAGTGATGGCACAGCATTTCATACTTATAGGAATAGCATTTAAGACCATTTATATTTATTGAATATTCACTTCATTTCTGTTATATACAGCCCTGGGCAAGGGTCTGGCAAGGACACAAGCATGTAGTTGACAGGGACCCACTTTACTAAGCTTGAGGTGGTGGACAAAAAACTAGAAGTTACAAGAAACCTATAGCATGATGTACAATGATGGGCTAGAGGGGATGGACGGAGGGAAACTTCACAAGCCTGGTGGTCTCTGAACTGAGACTGGGAGGATAGGAAGACTCATTGAACAAAGATGGGGGATGTAAATAAAACACAAAAGGTACAATAGATATTGTGAAAGGGAAAGAAATTGCTCAAATGGAAGGAACAGCTGGGATGAGGGAAAGGAGAAAAGAAAGAAAGAAAGAAGTAAAGGAAAAAATATGTATGTATACACAAGGATGGCTGGGATAATTGTACTGCTGATGTCTATTGGCTTATTGAAAAGAACAGTTAATGCTTAAATTTTTTGACCAATTTTGCATGCTTATATCTGGTAATCTGGACAACTAATGTGAAGACAACAATATGCAATATAACAACCACTGATCAATTCCTACATCTTGTTTACTGAAGCTCAGTATCAGTTCTAATTTTTTATTATTTTTTATTCTCTTTAATTGTTTGATCAATCTTGCATTCTTACATCTGGTAATCTGAGCAACTTAGTTGAAAATAACAATATTTAATATAACAACCATTGTTAATTTCCTATCATCTTGTTTTGAAATTCTGTATCATTTTTATTTTTTTGTGTTGTTTTGTTTTTGTCTTTGTTGTTGTTTTGATATTTTTTCTCTTTAAAATTAAAAAAATGGGGGATGAGGTGAAAATAAAGGAGACTTCAGGCAAAGAAAGGGGTGGCTTAAAAGTGCATGGAAATTGCACAGCAAAAACATCAAGATGTTCCTTCTCTCTGAAAGAAGCAGTTTCATAACTCCATAGATGGAATTGAGGGGAATGCTAGAAAATTAGAGTGGGATCAAACTGTGGAAGCAGTGAGATGAGAGCCTTGATTTCAACGTTATCAAGAAGACCGTGACACCCAGTGAAATTCTGTAAACAAAAACTGGCCAGAACCATGTCAGGGCCTTCCTTCTCATCTTAAAATGAACTGGAGAGGGGGATGTCAACTGGGAGCCCCACGGGGAGTCAGTGGCAGTGCAACTGGGAATGCAGGCAGGGGTAGACTTGAAGTGATACGGTCAGGAAGGAAGTGAACTGGAAGACATGGCCCTATTTGGTCATGGAAGCTGGGGACAGCGACACAACACATAGACACAGAGTGATAGACTTGGTGAGAGGGGAAGACAAGCTGGGCATACTGAGGTGCTGATGGGATGTCCAGGTTAAACAAAAAGTACAACAGGGCATGGAAGATGAGGTGAGGACAAAAGATTAGTATCTAGGGGTCTTTCCCATAAAGGAAATCCACGTTTGCTGCGTCAGAGTGGGAAGTCACCAAGGGAGACTTGTTGGCATGATTGCTCATTGTCATTCTCAAATGTTTATCCTAAACAAGATATTTATGTGTCCAATGATACTCGTGGGAGGGCTGGGGATTTAGCTCAGTGGCGCAGCACCTGCCTGGCAAGCACAAGGTCATGAGTTTGATTCCTGGTACCGGAAAAAAATAAAAATAAAAATAAATAAATAAATAAATAAACTAGAGTGTCTGGTTTATTTCACATAATATTCGTGGGAGAAGAGTAAGTCAGTGTTTTCCGAACTATGTGTTAGAAACAGTCATTTTATTTTGTAGCATGGGTGAAGCTGGGCATGCTCCCAAAATGAAAGGACAAGAAAAGGAAGGGGCTGGGAGGGAAGAGGAAAGAAAGGGAGAGGAGGAAAGTGGGGACATACCCCAAGCTGGCCTCGAACTCACAATGATCCTTGTGCCTCAGCCTCCCAAGTGCTGGGCTTACAGGCGTGCGCCACCACGCCCAGCCTGGAAAGGCGAGAGGGAGGGGAGAGAAGGAACAGAAGAAAAAGAAGAAGTTTTAGGTCACATCAGCTGGGGAAAGGCTAGGTTAAGCAGACTTCAGCAGCTTCTCTGTCTCAAGCAGCTCCTCCGAGCCTTGAGCACGCTGCTGTGCACTCTAAATCCCCAAGGAAACCACCAGCACACAGCCTGTGCCAAGCACCTTTGGCCAAAAGCACACCTCTTTTCACAGAACTGACCACTTCTCAGAACACTTAGAGAAGTACTGCTAGAAGGTATAGGAAAGGGAAACAGGCTTCTCGCACAGAGAAATTGTGTTGTTACGTACTCAAGAACGGAATTTGCATGTAGGAAATGAACGCTTCACCTGCATGTTCCTATAGAGAGTGGAGCCGGGCTGGGAGGCTGCGCCCAGACTCGCTGTTTTCCTTGTCTTTCACTTGGTTACACCGGGGAGTTGCTCTAACCCGAGAATGTAAACTAGAGAAAACCATGGCTACAAGATATGTATACACTTGGGCTTAACAGTGCTGGCTACTGATCGGAAAAGCAAACAGGACTGGATAGTTCAATGACACTGACGCCTGCTGGGTGTCCTTTCAGATCCACAGGCCAGAGGATCACAAGATTGGTTTCTGTACTTTCGAGCCTGCTGACCTGGACAAAGTCCCTAGTAAATCTGCACATATCCCTGGCTCTGCTTGCTCCTTGAGTTCTTCTCCTTTTTGTCTAAGGATCCAAGCAGAGCACAGGAGCATAAGACTGCAATCTCAGAACTCCAGAGGCAGAGGGAGGAGAATGGCAGTGAGTTCGAGACCAGCCTGAGCTAGATATTGAGTTGGAGGCCAGCCTGAACTACATAGTGAGACCTTGTCTCACACTAACAATCTACCCAATAAGATAATACTGGTAAAAAGTACATATAAAAAATAGATCTTATTGAGCCAACACGAGCACTGTTTGTACACCACTATCTAACCATAATGAAAAGTGTCATTTCCACATACGTGCTCCTTCTTAAGCCTACTCAGCAGTTAAATCAGTGAACAATGAGCAAGCTGTAATGAGCCTTTGACACTGAGCTGCTAACATGACCGGGTCACTTCTCTGTTCAAAAATCACTGGAGCCTCTACATTGCTTATTCCCTGGTCTTGATTTTATCATTCCCCACCCTCTCACTAGACTGGACTTCACTATTCTTTTCAGACATAGTAGTAAGTTCTCTTCTACAAAGCCTTAGGTTTGTAGAGGGGTGAGCAAAAAGGAAAGATGAAAGATGTTTCTAAAGTGTCCTGCCTTGGAACCTTCCTGGAAGGAAAGACAGTGCCATGAGAAGAATCAAGAATTGTATCCGAGAGGGGCTGAAGAGGGGCGGGGAGAAGAAAAATCAAGATATATCATGAGCAGGTACAAACTCCCTATGATGAATGTGATCACTATGTCTATCTAAAGTGTACCAATAAACCTAACTTTAAAAAGGAATTGTATCTGCAGGTTCATGGATGAGGAAAAGAACAGAAGAGTTTTATTTTTTAAAGCTATTGAGTATAATATGCTACAGTAATGGTTCTCAAACTGTCCTCAGAATCTTTTTTACACCCTTAACAATTACTAAAAACCACGGGGCTGGGGATTTAGCTCAGCGGCACAGCTCCTGCCTGGCAAGCACAAGGTCGTGAGTTCGATTCCTGGTACCAGAAAAAAAAAAAGAAAGAAAATTACTGAAAACTCCAAAGAGATTTTATTCATATGAATTATATCTGTTTGTGTTTACCATACTAGAAATGAAAAACAAGAAGGTTTCAAAGCACAAGAATCCTCAAGCCCACATCCCAGGAGCTGTCAGAGCCCTGACAACACCACATGTTGTGTAGCCCCTGCAGAATTCCACTACACACTTGGAAAGAGCATGGGAAGGAAAAGGCAAAGAGCATCTTAGCTTTATCGGGGAGGTAGGTTTGCCTTTGTAGAACCCCCGAAAAGGCCCTAAGGACCTATGAGCTATGCAGAGGCCACACTTCAAGAAGCACTGTGCTACTGGTCAGTGAGGCAGAAATATCTCTCTGGGAATGTGGAACTTACAATGAAAAGGAGGAGGCTAAAAACACGACCTTGTAAACAAAGAACAAAACAGTGATAGCTAAAGACAATAGCTTAGAAGATACAGGCAAAAATGACAGGGCAGATAACATTTTGAGGAAGATTAACATTTAGGGAGACAAGATTTAAAACAAGAGTAATTAAGTAATACAGCCCTAAATACCAAATAAGAACTTGAGGCTTCCAAAATGAGTAAAGACAAACAGAAAATGTGATAAGGTGTCTCCACCAAAGTGCTTAAGAAATGTCAAGGCTGAACGAAGCCTACTAATGCAATTGAGTTTTGAAGATTTACAGATTTTCTCTGTATTTTTGACAATCTATGTGCCATGGCTGCACTAGAATGAATACAGATGAGCATTCATCCTGCTTGGGACACCAGCTAAACTTGAAATCTGAGTACATATAACATTCATTAATTCTGAAAAATGCTAAATAATCATATCTTCAAGGACAGTGTTAGCATAGCCACTGAACATGTGCTGAAACTTCTGTGTGCTATGAAAAAAGCTCCAGCCTACAAACCACCAGGCTAGGACCTCTCAGTGAGGAACGAGAACTGAAACGCAGCACGCTGTGTGTGCCTTCCAGAGAGAGCTCCGCACACAGACTTCAGTGTGAGGGCAATGAAACGCATGAGTCCTGGTAGAAAGAAAGTGGATTCAGGAGACAGAGCTGACTTTTTAAGAAGTGCAGTAATGAAGGTAAGAGAAAGACCTCAGTGGAGAGCTTGGGCAAGGAAAGTGTATTTTTATAAAAAGGAAAAATGGAAAGGAAGCCAATGATACAAGAAAGAAAACAAAGGGAAGGATGAACCTTGGCAAGGAGAAGGAACATTACTTCTGAAATAAGGAAGGAAGGTTGTATGATAATCCATATATTTTAAAGAAGAGCGCATAAAAGGGTTCGCACTGGGATGGCGTCAGGCTTCTCTAAAGCTGCTGATGAAGTAATTTTATGAGAATGCCGGGGCAAAGGGGGCTTGGGCGTGAGAAGTGGAGATGGCTTAGAACGGTCACTAAAGACCTCACAGTGCTGATTCTGTAAGAGAGGAAATGAACGTGCAGCAGCAGCAAAAGCTTGCTGGAATCTACTGCCACAGTTGTAGTAAACCCCAGCACAGCTTTATGACTTCAGCCAATAATTCTTGGCAGCTGAAGTTGTTATACAACTGCCCAAGCACATGTTCTTCTGTGTGGGAAGGAAGCCAGGAAGGAGAAGTTCCGAGAGGATCCCCTTCTATGGCAAGAACGACTGGCAACTGGGGATACTAGTTTCATATGCGTTTGGTAGTAAAATCTCATAGAGTGACCACTGCAGTCTTTACAGAGCAGTACAATCAACCCCCTACTAATCCATCAAGGACTAGATGTTTAAAAAGCAGTGTTTCAGAGGGGAGATCAGCAGACTATGACTCCACTGTCACCAATGAACTTAGCAAACAAAACATGCTAAGGTAAATATTTTGCTAACTTTGATAAGTCAGAAACTGGATCTTCCTTCTTGAATAGTTTTATGAATATTACATATATAATGTTTTCATCTAAACTGAGACACGTCAGAGAGAGAAAGAGGGTGCTCTTGTTCATTAAGTGGGAGAGCTAACCACATCCTGGGACTGATCCAGGCAAAATGGAACAAATGTTCCATATATATCCCACACAGAATAGCAAGAAGGCATCTCAGAAATGCATGGAACACACAAATCTATGTGGCTGGCCATGGAGAAAAAAGATGCTATGTACACAGAAAACTGAGCAGTCAGGGCAGAAAACCCTTAGGAAGTTTCCTGAGTCACATATGCAGAGGGTTGTGGTTAGCTACACTATGATCACACAGGCCAATCTCGAATACAGTGTGAAGAAGGGGCCGACGCCCTAAGGCGAAGATGTGCAGTGACTGTGAACCCCAGAAGACTTGTACCAGCGCTGTCTCTCTAGCTAGCTGATACCAAAACATTTTTTTTAAGTGCCACATTTGGGAAAGATAATTGCTGGGGTAATGAAAGCAAACATATTCTGACTTAAACAAGAATTTATAGAGAAAAACTGAAACAACAACAAAAGATGTGCATGGTCTGTGCTTCCTAATGTTTTATGGGGACACGGCATAACAGGAGATACTGCTTAGGGAGGAAAAAACCGTAAATACTGTAGAAATTTGTAGTGTAATGAAAATATTCTTGACATAGTTCACACTGGCAAGGAGAAACAATGATCAAAAAGCAATCTTGAAGCTTTCTCACACTGCGGTGCCCTGATGAGCAGTTTCACCATCCCCTGAGAACGTATACAAATGCATACTGTAGACCCTACCCCCAAACTACCAAACCAGAAACTACAGCAATCATTAAAGTTTTCCAGATGTTTCTGGTGTACAATAAAGTTGGAAAGCAGCTGCTTTATGCAGCCAGCTATCTACCAGCTGGGACTGGAAAGAATCACTTTCTGGTCCAGGTGCACTGTTCATCAGGTTTCTGAGTTAGGTTACAATTTAAGTAGCTGATCGTCACAACTCAAAGTGTGAGCCACAGAAATCTGGAAAAATCGGCATTTCCTGGAAGTTTGTCAGTCATAAAGAGCCCTGGGGTTCAGTTTACACCTACCAAGTCAGAATCTGCATTTACAAGATCCACAGGGGATTCTTGTGCACCTTAAAGTCTGAGAGGCACTAAGCTACAGGGAGCATTTTAGCCAAATAGTGCAAAAGGGAGAGATTCTGGATCTCAGTGCCCTCTTCTGAGGTAGGAGGGAAGGAAGCTTCCTGCTCACCTCTAGCTCAGAGCTGCCGGCGAGAAGTCAGGAAGGGGGTGGACCCTAGAGCAGCCACTCACACTGCAGCTCTGCTCTTCACAGGGGCTGCCTCGGGATCCGCATGAGGAGGCCCCTACTTGCCACTGCTGACTTTGACTCTGAGCTGCCTGAAAGGTGTGGCAAGTGCAAACCTCCTTGAATTGTTAATCATTTAAAACACCAGGTAGTAATGAAAACAGACCAAAAGTTCAAGCCATTTAACCTCATAAATTATGTAATAAAAGTATACATATTTTATTGTATGCATTTAATCAATTCGTCCAATTGTTGGGGCTGGGGATTTAGCTCAGCGGCAAAAGCGCCTGCCTGGCAAGCGCAAGGTCATGAGTTCAGTTCCCGGTACCGGAGAAAAAAACCAAAAAAAAAAAAAATTCTTCCAATTGTTTTTTAAATAGCAGGTGAGATACTTCCCAAATTTAGAAACTACTGAGTTATGAAAGAGACAAAGAAAAGTTGCCATGGTTTACTGCAAAGAAAAGCCCACGGGTTGTTTATTGCACCTTTGTAACAAGTAAAAAATAATTTTCCAACCAACCTGATAACATGGATCCCTCATTAGTAGCCTCAGACAAATTAACACTCTCAGGAAATGAATAGATGGGGCTCGATTAACCCACTCCCTGAAAGAGAATAACAAAGAGAACATGATGTTTAAGGGCCAGCGTGACAGCTCATAAACAACGCGTGTCTTTGAGGGAGTATAAAGGATACATGAAGGAACAAGAGAAGCACCCAGTTTATTTCAACTGTAATCTGCAACTTGTTCTGTTATTTGATACATGCACATTTGACTCACATTAATGCAGCGCACACACACAAACCACGTTTACCAGGATGAAATGAGGCCTCCATATTCACTTGGTTCCCAGCATTCAATTATTTCATGGCAACCCTAAATCAAAATAAATAGCTAAAATCTCCCCAAAATTGTTAGGTACAACTTAGTAAGAACTTAAACCCTGACATTGTGATGTCAACTGAAAAAAAATAAAATATATCTATTAACAAAAATATTTTAATTTTTATCTTTAAATCACCACATTTACATATTAACAGGGCATGTGTACCTGTAGGTCCTAAAACACTTCTCAAACCTTGGAATCATATTTGATACTATCACTGTCCTCTTCTGCATGACTTTTCTGGGGTATTTGCCTTTATTGTAAAGGCCACCAAAATCCCAGCTTCCAAAAGATATGTCTTCATCAAAGCAGTATGTACAAACCAATGTGGAAATCATAAACTACCTGGAGTAGTTTGGGATATATCTGATGCATGTTGAATACTCTGACTTTCTTGGATATTTACAATATTCTATGGTGCCCCTGCGCATGCTGTGCAGTGCTGGGTTACGTTGGTGCTCAGTTTGGGAAACACAGTGATAAGGTATTTTCTTAGGTCAGTTTCCCCAGACTCTATTCCCAAGATGAAGACTGGTGTCTGCAAATGAGTGGCTAAGGACAGTCTTCAGAGACCAGCAGGAGAGCAAAGGAAACGGTGAAGCAGAAGGAGAAAGCCAAGCCAGGGTGCTACCTGCGGTACATCCTCCCTCAACCAGTAGGGACTGTGGGCGTCAGCTTCACTTCACAGTTGTCCCCCATTGAGGCAAGGGCACCAGGCTTTCATACTCCTGAAGCTGCAGGGCTGAGCGCTTGGAAGGATACAAATTCCCAGGTACTTCCTCCCACTGAGCCTATAGGCGAAGCAACTCTAGGAGCCTCAGGGTGGAGCCAGTGCTTCTACACAGGAAGCCCAGAAACCAAGAGCACGAGGATTTCAGGAATCTCGGCAAGGCACCGACATCACATTTCTACACTGAGATTAATTACAACCCTTTGAAATTAAAGTAGCAGTCACTGGAGAAATCACATGAAGACGGGAACCGAAGGTGTAATTCCTAAATGCCAAGTGCAACAGTAGCTAATGAGACTGGGCCCATTCAGTCAGGGGGAAATCTAGATTTTGGTTTCAAAAGTGGAATACATCCAATATCTAGAATAGCATCAGATTTCTGAAGAACTATTTAAAGTATCATTTCAAATATATAAGTGTCTGCCCAAGTGCAGACTGAAGAGCTTTGAAATTGTTTCTTTAGCAAAAGGGAAAAAAATGACTTAGTCATACCCCTTTAAGAATCTTTAAAGTAAGACAACTTGCAATTTTGCTGGGTCATTGGAATAGCCAAACAATGTCCTAGTCTGAGGAGGTCAAGGGGCCTTGCACCTGGTGGCTGCTCAAATATGCACTGACTGACTAATTTCCTGATTTATACCAGGGTTATCAAGGGAAGCAGGTGTGGTCTCAGTTCAGGTACCTTGCAATTAATGAGTTAAACCTAGGAGATTATCACAGTCAACTAAGAATCCTTCATTTCCATGACTTTGTAAGCTCTCTAGCTCAGAAGTAGGAAGGCAAGGCAAGCATGGTCTCTGCCCTTCCTGGTCCTTTGAGCTCCTGTGAGTAATTTCTTCCATCACAGAGCTGTACTTTGTCCAGTTAGAGCTGGTAGTGAATGCTGTCACAATGCTAAAGCTTCCAGCTGGCTCCCCTTGTGTAGCCATTAGGCCACAGAGCACGCAGAAAGCAAGGTGCCTTTCACACCAGTTGGCAAGGACGTTAGTACCGAAGGTTACGGAGCAACAGAGCCCAGGCAGAAATTACCACCTACACTTCCTGTATCTCATTTTGATCATTAGCATGGCTGAAATTGATTTGGTGACCACCTACACAAACCTGATTCCTTCTAGTTTTCCAAATATCGGTTTTCCAAAATACCACACCTCTGGGGTTTTGTCTTCGTCTTCTATTTCCCTCACATCATTGACCCACTTCCTCAGCAAATCTTGTCTGCTCCATAACCAGACCTCTGATGTTTCACTCTCTCCTCTACCACCACCCTGTTTCAAGCTACCTTTATCTCATTCTTGAGCTACTGCAAAAGCCTCCTTCCTGGGACCCATGCTTCTGCCTTTGACCTCTGCTTATTCTTCCCATGTCTACAGGTTGCACTTTAGAAATGCCAAGTTAATTCATGTTATGCCTCCACCTAAACCCTCGAATAAGCTCCCACCTGAACAAAATCCAAAGCTGACACCACAATCCACAAGATTCTATACGATCTGTCTTTCTCACTGTGCCTCTGACCCCATCTCTTCTCTAGTCCCTTTTTCCCATCCTCCCAACCACACTGACCCTCCTAACACACAGGTTTGGCTAAGATACTTCTCATGAAGCCTATTGTGGTTTTTCAGCACTGGAACCTGAAAAACTACAGAGATGTTCTTCAATCTGACATGAGGCCACTCACCTCATGACTGTTCTAACCACAGTGTGTGTTTGGGGCAGAGGTGGTGAGGAAGGGGGCTCAGCCCTGCTGTGACTGGATGCTACCTGACATCCTCTACGAAGGTGTTTCTCTCCGGGTGACACTTGTCTCTTACTGCTCTATTATTCAAGCTGTACTTGGTGTACGTGTAAACAAAAGCCCAAAGCACAAAGTGCCTGCTATTTCATACTTAGCCAAGAAAAACTCAAGGACACTACAGAAGCTATTTCAGATTAGCATCATAATTTTTCTCACCTCCACAGCTGAGCTGGTTGTGTATCCAGCAAGGTCATGTGGAGCACTTCTTAAGCTGACTGACTTAAGTCAGTCCTCACCACTTTGTCCTATATCTGTCCTTGGCCTCAAGTGACAGAATTAAGCCTTGTCTCCTGTGTAGTGTCAAAAAAGTCAACTTTTTTCTAATCTTGTCCATCTTAATCCTGAGTGAATCAGACTTACCCTTCCTGAAAGCAGGCTGAGCATGTATGGTCACGGCCACCAGAAGTGCCACACTCGATCCCACTCCACTTAGCCAAGCTACCCACAATTCCCTCCATTTCATAGGAAGGACGTAGGGAGATGTGCTTTTCCTGTAGCCTATATTCTTGGGAATGTTTGGGTGCTTCTTGTAGCTATAATCCCAGCAGAAACCCGAGTGCAGAGATGCCAACCAAGATGTTCCAAAAGCATCACTGGCTGAGACCTACTCTTCCTGGCATCACCACGGCTCCTGTCCACTACAGCTCCTCCTGCTCAAGCACCTTGTCGTGACTCTTTTGCCATGGGGGCAAAGCCCAATTTCTTTGGAAAATAAAGGCAGGACTCAACCACAACCGGGGCAGCCAGCGAGGCAGCGTCATCCAAGGTCACGGTGACAAATGCACTGTGGTTCATCCTGACTTCCTACGGTATACTCCCTGCATGGGGAAACATGGCAAATCTGAAGTTTATTTTGGACTTAAACAATCCTCTATGGGAGCACTTCATCTATGGGAACAGCTGTAAAACTATTCCCATTCCAAGGTTCCTATTACAGGGAGAGTACCTTTAATCTTTATATAAATAGGGAGAGAACACATGACAAGCTCCCCTTTCAGGTGCTGCGGTGAGCAGTGATGTCAGGGAAACCACAATGCAGTGCAGACACTGCTGCTCCAAGTTCTAACAGCAAGAATGACCAAGTCGTACACAGCTGCTGGAGCCTAGTAAATGCTGACGGCCTCTCACTATTGAAGAGGAAAAGACATGAGACATTTTAAGAGCTGATTCATGCCACAACCATGTGTACACTTGGTATTTTTCCTGTTAGGTATAGATGACCTTAATGAGGGGAAAGTCCATGATCTCTCCTATGTTTTCTCATATTAAAATAAACATAAAAAGGTTTTTACCTGTTTCTTTCTCACCCCCCCCAAGATAAAAAAAATCCCCCAGTTTTTTTTTTTTTTTTCATTTTTACTATTAAGGAAGTATAAATAAATAAAGGATTCTGGAATAGTTCCAGAGTTGAAAGTTCAGTTCCAAGCAAATGGCATTTTTTTGGTTTCTTTTGCAGTTTTGGGACTGAAGCCCAAAGCTATTAATATTTTTACATGGTTCTGGCCTCTGGGGCTGTAAATGTAAATAGGATTCCTAATGTCTGAGTCCTCCGGCTCCTCCCCGTGTGCCCTGACCTCTGAAGGCGCAGTTGTTACTTCCTTGGCTCCCAGCCCCTGCCCCGCTACAAGACGTGGTGGGCGGGATGGAGCGCTGGTATTAGAGAGGATGTGGGGTGGGCTGTAAAATGATACATACATCTGTCTGCCAAGAGTCAGGGGCCTAGGAAACGCACAACGTGGTGCAACCAGAAAATTACACAAATAGTAGTGACAGACTGGAAAGATGGTGCGTTCATTTTGCAGATTCCACCCCTGCGGCCTGGGGCAGCAGCGTGACTGGAGCACAGCTATACCTAAGTAACAGCGTTGGGTGCCTGACTCTCAGTCCAAACTCCTGTTGTCTCCCTCCCTCCACCGGGCTCCCTCACAGAAGGAAGACTAAAGAGAAAGAGGCTCCAAATACTAATATGGGAGCAGGAGTGTTCCTCAGGATGCCATGGGGATCCGGAAAAGCCATCCATCTGCAGAGTTAGCACCTCCCTGGAGGGTGAGTCTCAATATAGCAGCCACACAGAAGCAAATTCATGAGCGGGCAAATAGTTATCCCCTCTTGTGACTGAACTTATGCCACTGCGTTCAAGGACTATTAATACAAGGCAGCGTGATCCGCTCCCGCTGCCCTTGTCCAGGACCGGCC